TTTCTAAAGCACTTTGAACTTCTTGAAACAAGGATCTAAATAACATTAAAAGACAAACAGTTCTAGTTCTAAAACTAAAAAAGAACATAAGAGAATTCTGGAAGCATAGAAGGTGCTCCTTTGATATGAGCTATGACAAGCCTGTGTACTCAGAACTCAGCCCATACTGAGTTCCTATGTTCCCTAAATTACTTACAGTCAAGTAATAAGTACTAACCCTTTTCCCACCTTTGCAAGTATTGCATAATAAAAAACAGCAATCACCTACCAATTTGAATTTGTTTACCACAACTATTAAATAAATTACAGTAACAAAAAATACAATGCTATGTAGTTTTTTAAAACACTATCATAGACTATATTAAAACTTTAAAAAAGGCATATATTTTATGCCATTTAAACTGCTCAGATGATTATATTATAGGTTAAAAGCTTGCATAACAAAGAAATATGGCATTTATGATTAGTATTTACATATCTTCCATCAAAATAATTTTTAACTAAAAGTGCTACATAGGCATAACACAAAAGAAACAACTCTTTATAGTAGTAAAACAATTGGTGAGTTCATTAAAAAAAATTCAATCTAATTTATGCAATACTTACTACTGAATTTTTCACCCAGTTGTTAGCAGATAGATATTGTCTAGGCACAGAAGAGTAAATAGAGTTCACCAGAAGCCAAGGAAGGTAAAGCTTGTACTTCACACAATTCTGCAAGGCGACTCTCTTCCCAGAGGACTGTAATTGGCTGCCGTAACAGACATCTTTTCCTCTACAATCCGAATTCCCAACTACACAAAGCCTCTAATATGTAAGTGCCATCCACATTCCCCTCCTGGCTCCTTACCAATTCAACCACAGTAATTTGGTTGGAGATAAGGAAAGTTTTAAAGAAAACAATCAGAAAAGAATAGAAGGATAAGTAACTAAGAATTGTGATCAAAATAAAGAGAAAAAAAGGAGGAAAGGGACAGGGAGAAATAAAATAGACAAAGAAGAAAGAATAAACAAGAAAATAAGATGGGGCGGGGGGGGAAATATAAAAGGAAAAATAAAGTATACAGAGTAAGAGTAGAGTTAGAGGAAGCTGAACAGATGAGGGAGGGAAAAACTTTTCAGGGGAGCCATCACTTTCTGTTCTAATTGTTCCTTAGACTCTTTTCCTAAACTCCCATCTTTCAAACATTGCAAAGTAGGCTTCCCTGTCTTCTCACACATGTTCTACTAGCACCCCTAAAAGGAGCCCCAAATTTGTTAGGTAGTTGTATACCCATTGATTAAAAACATTTTAAAGTAGAAAAGGCCAATTCAATCTGGATTTCAGTTCACAATAGTGTTCAAAAGGTACAGAGCTTCAATTTAGTGAGCATAAAATATTAACTGTAACCTAGGCAAGTTGCTGTCTTAATTATTTCTCTGGTAACTAAGAGATGATTTATTGTTTGATAACCATATTGCTTATAATAATTTTTCTGTTGGTTTTAGATAAATGATCTTAAAGATTAATTTTTCTAAAGGACACATAATAAGCCAAAATTATAACTGTGAATTTTAAACCTGAAATATTAAAATTTTATGTTCTTCTATAGAACTGTGATGGTTCTAAACTGTGGCCTAACTTCGAGGAAAAAATTGGCTTTATGATCAAGTAGATGTAAATTCAAATACTGAGTGAATCTAGGCAAATTAAAATAATTCTTTGAGAAATTTCTGAGAAAAAAAAGACTCTGCCCTTTGATCTCTGGCATACACTGCTATGGTAGGAATTATCAAATTAAATTTCAGTTATTATTTTAACCTTAAACAGCAAACCTCATGTAGTTGACAAATATTTATTTATTTATTGACAAATATTTAAAAACCCACTATAAATTCACTGCTCTTTATGGTCAGAAGACATTCTTAGTAAAGTTTTCATACAAAGGGCCAGAATATAAATTAATTATTGATTTCAGGCTGTATTTCCTTCATAATGTATTTGATCCAAGGAATGCTATGAAGCATAAAACCTTCCCATCTCCAGAAATGAAATGAGGTTATATACAACATAACTGATGGTCAAAGTGAAAATTAAAATTCATGTAAAGATCTAAAAATAAAATTAACCTTTAATAACTAATTTCGTAACTGCAACACGTAAAACATTCACTGCAGAATTTGATTTTACTGTTTTCACAAAGACAGTAGGATCCAGTGAGGACAGTCCTGGGCAAGTTCAGGCATGTCACTTAATTTCTTCATTTATACAATGATAATGGTAAGTGTCAGGGGAGAAAGGAACTTCTTCCCTCTACCTGGGTTGGGTCTCTGTACACAGGGAGAGCAGGACTTTACCACAACTCTTATCTTCCACCAAGGAACATACTGGGGAGAAACGCATGATTTCTATATTCATCCATTTTATGAATTCTTCCACAAGGCCAGTAGGATGGCTGACATGACTGGTTTGATTTTGGTAGTCACTGTGCTATTTCCAGTCAAAATGGAGTATCAGGGACTTGATTTACCCACACACCTAAACCACAACAAAATACAAACAACTGTTTCCAGACACTGGACAACAGACAGTGTAAGACAGTGATCTCTGAGAGAAAAATAAACAGGTGAGCTCTAAACTGCCCAACTTTAATGCCTGGAGAACGTTTCCAGGCCGAAGGACAGGGAAGGAGAAGGCAGATGCAATCCAGCAGTCTCCCTGAATCAAGCACAAAAGAACTAAGGGAAAGGGAAGTTAGGTGGCTAGAGTCACAGGGCAGAGTACCAGACAAGGGAGAGTAGCACAAAGAAGGTGAGCTCAGGAGAAATAGAGAAGGAGTGAAAGAAGAAAACTGTCAACCTGGAATTCCTGAAAAACAAACAACCAAACAAAAACCTTAGACCCAGAAAAGCTGAAACAAGTTTATCACCAACAGACCCTCACTATCAAAAATGGTAAAGGAAATCCTTCTGTCAGAAAGAAAATTAAACCATTTGGAAATCTGGATCTACACAAAGAGAACTGGAAATCATAAATATGTAGGTAAATAAAAAATAATTTATTATTTGTTTTTAAATCGCTTTTAAATAGAACTATTTAAAGGAAATGTTGAAGTATTTGAAGGTAAATACTTCAAAGTATTTGAAGGTAAACTGTGACAAGTTAATTATTGCATACTTTAAAGTAACTACTGAAAAAACAAACAAAACATACCCCCATAAAACTAATTATAATTAATAAGTTAACAAAGGAGATAAAATGAAATTATTCAAAAAAACCCCCCAAACTGTCAATCCAAAAGAAGACAGAAAAAGAAGGATAAAGGAACAAAGACCAGATGGGACAAATAGAAAGCAAATAATAAGATGACAGATTTAATCCCATCCATATCAACAATAACCTAAAATGTGAATGGTCTAATTAAAAAGCAAGGATTGGGCTTCCCTGGTGGCGCAGTGGTTGAGAGTCTGCCTGCCGATACAGGGGACACGGGTTCGTGCCCTGGTCCGAGAGGATCCCACATGCCACAGAGTGGCTGGGCCCGTGAGCCATGGCTGCTGAGCCTGCGCGTCCGGAGTCTGTGCTCCACAGCAGGAGAAGCCACAGCAGTGAGAGGCCCACGTACCGCAAAAAAAAAAAAAAAAAAAGCAAGGATTATCAGATTGGTTAAAAAAGCAAGACACAACTGCATACTACCTATAAGAAATCCATTTTGAATATAAAGACACAAATAAGCTAAAAGTGAGTGCTAACACTAGCCAAAAGAAAGCTGGAGTGGCTACAGTAATCAGATGAAACAGATTCCAGAGCAAATGAACTTGCAAGTGATAATGGTGGCCATTTCATAATGATAATGAGGCCAATCCATCAAGAAAGCATAACAGCCCTAAACATTTACGTACCTAAGAAAATAGCTTCAACAAGTATAAAGTAAAAATGATAGAACTGTAAGAAGAAACAGACACATCCACAATTATATTTGAGATTTCAACACCCACTTTTTCAATAATCAATAGAACAAGTAACAGAAAATCAGTAAGAACATAAAAATCTTGAACAGTACCATCAATTTGACCTAATTGGCATTTACATTACACTCCACTCAACAAAAGAAGAATACACATCTTTACTAGGTACACATACAACATTTACCAAGACAGACCATATTCTGGGCCACAAAACAAGTCTCAATAAATTTAAATAGTTTAAAATCATCCAAAGTGTGTTCTCCAACCATAATGGAATTAAATTAGAAGTCAGTAAGAGAAAGATAGCTGGAAAATCTCTAAATATTTTGGAAGTAAATAACTGGTGTGATTTCAATAGTCACTGGACCACCTCTTTACTCTGAAGTGAGGTTTCCAAGTTTATGGACTGAAATGTGTCCCACCACACCTCCCCCGACCCCCAAACTCATATGTTGAAGCCCTAACCTCCAATGTGACTGTATTAAGAGACACGGCTTTTAGAAGGCAATTAATGTTAAATGAAGTCATCAGGGTGGGGCCGTAAACCAATAGGATTGGTGGCCTTACAGGAAGCGGAAAAGAGAAATCTCTCTACCTCTCTTCCTTCCCCTCCCACCTCCCCCCTTTCCAAGCACATGCACCAAGGAAAGACCATAAGGGCTTCCCTGGTGGCGCAGTGGTTAAGAATCCGTCTGCCAATGCAGGGGACACGGGTTCAAGCCCTGGTCCGGGAAGATCCCATATGCTGTGGAGCAACTAAGCCTGCACTGCACAACTACTGAGCCTGCACTCCAGAGCCCAAGAGCCAGAACTACTGAAGCCTGTGCGCCTAAAGCCTATGCTCTTCAACAAGAGAAGCCACCACAATGAGAAGCCCGTGCACCACAACGAAGGGTAGCCCCCACTCTCTGCAACTAGAGAAAGCCTGCGTGCAACAACAAAGGCCCAATGCAGCCAAAAATAAATAAATTAATTAATTTTAAAAAAAGGGGAGACCATATGACCACACATCAAGAAGGCATCCATCTACAAGCCAGGAAGAGAACACTTACCAGAAACCAAATCAGCTGGCACCTTGATCTTAATACTTCCCAGCCTCCTTAACTGTGTGAAAATGAAATTCTGTTGATTAAGCCACTCAGTCTATGGTATATTGTTATGGCAGCCCAACCTGACTAATACATCAAGGATAAAAGCCAGGAATCTGCCTCTATATTTCCTGTTCTTTGCTGAAACTCAGAGGGTGTAGTCCTGCACCTTGTTCCAGATTTCTAGATAAGGCATGCTGGAGCCAGTGCCTAAAGCCTACATGTTCTCAATTAATAAAAGAGGGAGTAAAAATACCAGGCATAAATGGGTTTCCAGAATCCTTGCACTTGGAGAACCACAGGGTGCATGCCTGGTTTAATAAAGTGATACTCTATTTCTCATTCTATTGATACCATCAATCTTGTGTGTATATACTTGCAGTTGGAAAGGAGAAATGGTAGTTAGTACTATGAATCCCTAGCAATTATAACTATCCAACCATCTTACATAATTGTCATGATGATCAGAAGTGAGGTATGCCAAACACTGATTCATTAAATTAATCTTACTCAAAGGAAAAAAAACCCCTTCTGTTCGAGGGCATGGCTACTTAATGAAGTCAAGGTGGGGGCAAGAGGAGAAAACTGAGAAAAGAGTGAGGAATAAGGGGAAAAGAAAAACAAAAGTAATGATAAATACATGTAGAATTCACTAAGTACAACATCATATTCTACTCCCCCCTACTACCTATACATCTCCAAACCCAAATCTGCTCTTTCTCTTGAGTTCCCTATATAGTCTAACATTATCGATGCTTAACTGCCCAAGCCAAAAACTTGGCAATGGAGTCCTATAAACGGCACCACCTAAACAGCTCTAGCCACTTTTCTTCCTCACTCTATGGCCCCTACCTATACTACCAATGGCCATATGGGGACTTCCCTGGTGGTCCAGTGGTTAAGACTCTGCGTTTCCATTGCAAGGAGCATGGGTTAGAACCCTGGTCAGGGAACTAAGATCCTGCATGCTGCATGGCGTGCCCCAAAAAATTAATAAATAAAAAAATAAAATAAAGAAACCGTTAAAAAATACATACTTTAAAAAATGTCCATATGTTACACACTAGTGTGTATAAAATAGATAACCAACAAGGACCTACTGTACAGCACAGGGAACTATACCCAATACTATGTAATAACCTATAAGGGAAAAGAATCTGAAAAAAGACTATACATATATATATATACATATAACTGAATCACTGTGCTGTACACCTGAAACTTATATGATATTGTAAACTATACTTCAATAAAAAAATTTTAAAAAATAGCCATATGTTAAAAAATACCTCCTGTAAAATGCTATAAAAAAATATGTATGTATTTCACCAAGAGTGAACCCTAATGTAAACTATAGACTTTTGGTGATGATGTGTCGATATAGATTCATCGACTGTAACAAATGTACCACTGTGTCATGGGGTATTGATAGTGGGGGAAGTTGTGCATGTGTGGGGAACAGGGTGTATATGGCACTCTGTACTTTGTGCTCAGTCTTGCTGTGAATCTAAAACTTCTCTCTAGGGACTTCCCTGGCGGTCCAGTGGGTAAGACTCCGAGCTCCCGATTCAGGGGTCCTGGGTTCGATCCCTGGTCTGGGAACTAGATCCCACATGCATGCTGCAACTAAGAAGTCTGCATGCCACAACTAAGAAGTCTGCATGCCGCCACTAAGAAGTCCACATGCTGCAACTAAAACAGATCCCACATGCCGCAACTAAGACCCAGGGCAGCCAAAATAAATAAATAAATATTTAAAAAAAATAAAACTTCTCTCTAAAAAAAAGTTTATTAATTAAAAAATATTTCCCTTCTATAAAATGCCAGAAAAATATTCTTGGTGTTTTTTTTTTACTTTCTGCAGATTTAAAAAAATAAAAATCAATACTGAAAATAATCTATTCACTTATCCCAAAATTGTACTTAAGAAGTTTCCCTCAGGAAGCATGAATTATGAAGACAAAAACAAAAATTACAGGGGCTTCCCTGGTGGCGCAGTGGTTGACAGTCCACCTGCTGACGCAGGGGACGTGGGTTCGTGCCCCTGTCCGGGAAGATCCCACATGCCGCGGAGAGGCTGGGCCCGTGAGCCATGGCCACTGAGCCTGCGCGTCCGGAGCTTGTGCTCCGCAATGGGAGAGGCCACAACAGTGAGAGGCCCGCATACCACAAAAAATAATAATAATAATAATTATAGTAGAAAGCAACAAAAGAAGCACAAAAGAAAATTATCAAATCTCAGATGAGCTATCACTGTCCCAGGATCAAAAAAAAAAAGACGTTCTGTACAAACTTAAATTAACATAGTTCATGTTTTATATTAAAGCATTTTAATGCCTGATAAGTATGAATATACTTAAAAGTCTTCAGGGTCTGAAAAAAATGTGTAAGTTACTGAAAGAACTGAAATAATGTTCTGCCACATTATTTGCTATTTAATTTGTATTACAGGTAAGAAGTTAAGTGACTGAGGGAAGCACAGTTCTTATTATAACTGATATTCTCAAAGTCTACTGACAATAATATTGTTTCTCATATAACCTCTGGTGCTGAGCTTCTTGGACAAAATTCCCCTAGACTAGACTATTGAATACCTATGTTAAATTCTGTATTTTGAGAATATGCCAGAGTAAGAGTCCTTAATGAGCAGTACAGTGCAGTATATTGTATAATGATGGCTTTCAGCATTCTATAAATACAGCAGTCTTGGAAATATCAATTTAATGCCAGTCAGATTTGTTTATAAAAGAACCCACCTACAGGAAATAATTTAAATAAGTTTCACTTACAAACTGAAGACTGCTTGGACACCTTTCTCTGGTCTGTGGTTGTGGATCCATCATGCAATTATAACACTAGTATTTACAATGCTATAATAACAGCTGACACTTCCTAAGCTCTTACTATGTGCCAGATACTATGATGATTATTTTATCTTATTTAATCTTCACAACGATACTGAGAATACATCACACTGTTTTACCTCCAAAAATAGCCTGATTATATATGGAATGGTCATTCATATATAACCACTATTGTTAATTCATCAAATCTAAGATGTCATTAATTTTAAGATACATGACTATTTTATCTTTCATTAAGAAAGAAAAATCTGCCAATTTAACTACAGTGTGCATCAAAGTGTAAGAAACAAATTTCTTTCTGATTTCAAAGATTTAAAATATAGAAAATGTGCATGCTAAAATCAACCAAATATGGTAATCCTAAAATTATAAGTTTAATCAGAATCTGATTTAAATGCAGTATTTCTTAATAGACCTGAAAACAAAGTGAGCTAACTAACTGAATGTTTTTCAGCCTCTTTTGAGAAGAAATCCAACCTTGGAGAATGAAATCATTTCGCCAACAAACTTCTTAACTGAATGGGAAAAAAGAGAGAGAGCTACAGCTGCAGGTGTTCATATGAACTGCATTCATACTTTACGCTTATATATTTTTAGTCTAACTATGTACATTCATTATTCAAAGTAAAAACACCTTCATCAAAGTGTGTGTTTAACAGTGACTGGTTAATCTATATTGTAATAAAAGGGTGAAATAAGACTGGATATTTATAGTTTCGTGGTTAAGATCATGATTAACAGACAATCTGAATCCTGGTTCTGCTGCTAATAACGATGTAGCCCAAAGGAACTTACTTAGTCTCTCTAAACTTTACTTTCCTGAAAAATGGAGGTAATACCTATTTCATAGCATCAATGGTTTCATGAGGTAACAGTATGTTGTGTTGGACAACATGGCATACAGTAAGCAGTTTTATATAATACATAGTCTTACTGTTCCTTAATAAGCCAAAGTATCTGGAGAGAAATTTACAATAGTTCTAGAATCTTGTGGTTTGGAATCCCAGCTGCACATTGAACAAACTGGAGAGCTTTAAAAACAAAGTATAAGACAAAACAAAAAACAGAAACAAAACCCAGGGACACATCCAAGACTGGATATTATATTCTTATAAAAGCTCCCTAGGTAATTCTAATGTAATTTTAATGCAACAAGGATTGAGAACCACTGCTCTAATTGGAAGCTTGAGGCTAAGCAAGGGGAGAAAATGAGGATATTAGGCAAGGTGGTACATGGAGAAAATAGTGGTGACATTCAAAAAGCAAGAGACCCGCTTTAACATATGTACACTGGAGTTACATTTTCAGTTATAGCTGTGAATTTTCAAATATCCATTTATAATATATAACTGAGGTAGAAGTGGTTCTCAGACTGGGGTCTGTGGACATTCTGGGGATCTGACAGCTCTTTCTCCAAATTTAACACGTGATTTATTTTCAATGAAAATCTCAAAAAATGAGCAAAAACCTAGCCTGGAACATCCTGGACAATGATAATCAAGGATTGCCTTATAATGTCAGTGCTATATTCATATGTACTATTATGATTTACATTTACAGTTTTGCTGGTGTTTAAATAACACGACTTTAACAGCTCTAGGCTAGTGAGAGAGGTGGACTTAACACAGATGATGTTTTTATATTGTGTGCAAAATGGTGGTCTGGGGTACCAACAAAAGTTGACAATGAGTCAAATGGGACAAGCAAATATCAAGCCATAGTACGGTAGGCACGTTCATCTCAGAAGGACTTGGCCCATAATACCAATCACGATAGTCACATTTTGACCAGTAACTTTGTAACACATCATAATGATTTAAAGTTTACTGGTTCTACAGTTTTATTTGCACTTAGTTTTTAATTTTGAAAAACTTTTTAAATATTTTAATTTTATTGGAGTTGATTTACAATGTTGTGTTAGTTTCAGGTGTACAGCAAAGTGATTCTGTTATACAGATACATATATTCATTGTTTTTTAGATTCTTTTCTCATATAGGTTATCACAGAATATTGGATAGAGTTCCCTGTGCTCTACAGTAAGTCCTTGTTGGTTATCTATCTTATATATAGTAGTGTGCGTGTGTTCATCCCAAGCTCCTGATTTAACCCTCTCCCCCATGTTTCCCCTCTGGTAACCATAAGTTGTTTTCGATATCTATAAGTCAGCTTCTGTTTTGTAAATAAGTTCATTTGTATCTTTTTAAAATTAAATTCCATATATGAGCGATATTGTATGATATTTGTCTTTCTCTGACTTACTACACTTAGTATGATAATCTCTATGTTGCTGCAAATGGCATTATTTCCTTCTTTTTTATGGCTAAGTAATATTCCATTATATATATGTACCACACCTTTTTTATCCATTCCTCTGTTGATGGACATTTAGGTTGCTTCCATGTCTTGGCTATTGTAAAAAGTGCTGCAATGAACATCAGGGTGCATGTATCCTTTCGGATTATGGTTTTCTCCGGATATATGCCCAGGAGTGGGATTGCTGGATCACGTGGTAGCTATTTTAAGTTTTTTAAGGAACCTCCATACTGTTCTCCATAGTGGTTGTACCAATCTACATTCCCAACAACAGTGTAGGGAGATTCCCTTTTCTCCACATCCTCTCCAGCATTTATTGTTTGTAGACTTTTTGATGATGGCCTGCATTTAGGTTTTAAAAATCATTTTGGTTTTATAGTTGTATGAGGTCTATAAGAAAATTATACTGAGTTCAGTTTTCTACAATGTAATTAAAAAATAACTTATGTCAGCTGGTTCAAAAATTTTTTTTCCCTTAAATAGTTGTGGGGAGTCCTGGAAGAAAGACTGAATGGATTCAAATCTCAGTTCCATTATATAAGGAGGAGGTTTTCAACTTTTCATAAAATCTTTAAGATCTCTTTCTCTCTCTCAGGTATTATTCTGAAGTTGGCAAAAAGTCATACTTGGCACACCTGTCAGAATGGCTATTATCAAAAAGACAACAAATAACAAGTGTTGGTGAGGATATGGAGAAAAGGGGACCCTCGGGCACTGTTGGTGGGAATGTAAATTGCTGCAGCCACTATGAAAAACAGTATGGAGGTTCCTCAGAAAACTAAAAATAGAACTACCATAGGATCCAACAACTCCACTCCTGAGTATTTATCCAAAGAAAACAAACACACTAATTGGAAAAGATATACGCACCCCTATGTTCACTGTAGCATTATTTACAATAGGCTAGATATGGAAGCAACCCAAGTGCCCAGATGAATGGATAAAGAAGCTATGGTTTATATATACAATGCAATATTACTCACAAAAAAGAATGAAATGTTGCCATTGCAACAACATGGATGGACCTAGAGGGTATCATGCTAAATGAAATAAATCAGACAGAGAAAGACAAATACTGTATGATCTCTGTTACATATGGAATCTAAAATACAAAACAAATGAGCGAACGTAACAAAACAGGGTCATAGATATAGAGAACAAATTGCCAGAGTGGAAGGGGGTTGGTTGCCAAAGTGGAAGGGGGTGGGGGGAGAAAAGAAATAGGTCATGGGTATGAAATGTACAGTGTGGGGAATATAGCCAGTAACTATGTAATATCTTTGGTATGGTGACATATCATAGCTACACTTATCATGGTGATTATTTTGAAATGTATAAATACCAAATCACTATGCTGGTGCAACAGGAACTAATATAGTGTTGGATGTCAACTGTACTTCAAAAACAAAAAACTAATGCACTCATAGAAAAAGAGATCATTGTGGTTACCAGAGACAAGGGGTGGGTGAAGGGGGAATTGGAAGAAGGTGGTCAAAAGGTACAAACTTCCAGTTATAAGATAAATAAGTACTAGGGATGTAATGTACAACATGATAAATATAATGAACACTGCTGTATGTTACATATGAAAGTTGTTAAGACAGTAGATCCTAAGAGTTCTCATCACACAAAAAAAGGTTTTTTTCCCTGTTCTTTAATTTTGAGATGATGGATGTTCACTAAAGTTATTGTGATAATCATTTCATGATGCAGGTAAGTCAAATTATTATGCTGTACACCTTAAACTTATACAGTGCTGTGTGTCAATTATATAGAGAGAGTATGATCCTATTTTTGTTTAAAAAGAGTTTTAAGGGCTTCCCTGGTGGCGCAGTGGTTGAGAGTCCGCCTGCCGATGCAGGGGACATGGGTTCGTGCCCTGGTCTGGGAAGATCCCACATGCTGTGGAGCGATTGGGCCCGTGAGCCATGGCCGCTGAGCCTGCGAGAGTTTTAAGACATCTAATATTATATATACTTACATGAGGACAGGAGAAAGAGTAAAGATACAAGCACAAAACTATAGATACTGTTTATCCCTGGGAAAGTAGGCATAGGAAGAGGTAAGGAGTTTTCCCTATTTGCTTATACACTTTTTGTTTGTTTGAATTTTTTTTCAAACACCATGTACTATTACTGTAATTTTTAATCAAATTTTTCAAAACTGGGGGAGGGGGCAGTGAGAATCAAATAAAGATACATGCCTTTAAAGGATTTTAAAATCACAGATAAGAAATACCTACCATAAAAACTAGAGCATTACCAACTTTTTACTTTGCTAGATATTTTTTAAAAGACTACTGAAATAGAGAACTCCTAAGATGACTAATTATATATAAAACTTTAAGACCTCTATCTTATATAAACTTTCCAAGACACAACAATATTATTTAATAACAGTTCAAATATATATACAGTGATTAAGGGAAAAATATTGAGTATCTACCATACACCAGTGTTTCTCAAATTTTAATTTTTCTAAATATTATGGTAGACAGAGTAATGACCCCCCAAAAAATGTCCATGTCCCAATCTCTGGAACCTGTGTATATGTAACTTTACATTGAAAAGGAACTTTGAGGATGTGATTAAGTTAATCTTGAGATGGTGGGGGAGGGGTCCCTGGATTATCCTGGTACGCCCAACATAATCACAAATCCTTATAAAAAAGAGGCAGGAGGTAGAGGTGAAAGATGATGCTACATTGCTACCTCTGAAGACTGGTGAAGGGGCCATGAGCCAAGGAAAATAGGAGGCCTCTAGAAAGCTATAAAAGTCAAAGAGACAGACTTTCCCCTAAAGCCCCCAGAAGGAGGAAGACAGCCCTCTGGACCCATTGTAAACTTCTGACCCCAGAACTGTAAGACCATGAATGTATGTTGTTTTAAGCCATAAAGTTGTGGCAATTTCTTACAGCAGAAATAGGATCCTAATACAAGTATCATCTTAGGAGCTTGCAGAAAATGTATATTCCCAGGTCCTACTCCCAGAGATTCTGACTCAGGAGGTCTGCATGTTTAATAAGAAAGCTCTATGCCTCTGATGCAGGTGATCTCTGAATCATACTTTGAGAAATAGCACTTTAGAATATACATCAAAATAAATACCTCACAAGTAAAAAGAATCACATCTAAATTTTAACGGGGAAAACTAGCAGAATATTCAATATGTATTTATTTGACCTGTGGAATAATGAGACCTT